ACTCCCACCCACTTCCTAACAGCAACTCTCACTCTTTCGGAATGAGCTGATAGCTTTCTTCCCGTCATTTTCCTGCTGTGCTTTCTTGTGCTGCATGGGAGTGTGGCCTGGCTCGGCCATGGCTCACAGAAAACACTTTGAAACGGAGCATAGGACCTTTTACAAAAGGCAAAAAAAAGGCTAGCTTAATGAGCAAGATCGCACACAGCTCTTGAGACCAGTGATCTCTTTTTACCTCCTACTGTAACCTTTATTTAAAGGCATCTTCTCTGTGTTCTGTTGAATCACTGTCGCTCAAGCAGAAAACAAACTAGAACCCACACAGCTAAAACTGGGTATGAGCACCTGTTTCCAACGTGGTAACAGCTTCCAAGGTTGGCTTCAAAAGACCTGGAGGAAGGAAGGCGTCTTCAGCGAATCTACAGCAGGTTTAAAGCCGTCCGTGCTGTGTTAACTGCGGTTGTCCTGTGGCCCAGGGAGATCCTGGAGGGCGTGGGCGGGTCTTTGGTGACGGAGCTGGCGCTCGAGAGGTCTCTGCGAGAGCAGGGCGACGCGCGGGAGGAGACGGAGTGCCTGGAGCGGACTCTGCTCCGGAGGCGAGCCGAGCTGAGGGAGGCCGACCGGCTCCTCGCGGAGGCGGAGACCGAGCTGAAGGACACCCGGGCCAAGGTGAGCCAGCCTCCTCGGCTCCTTGTCGCGCGCGCACGCACACACAGACAGACACGCGCAGAGGTGGGTAACCTGGGCGCCGGCGTCTCTTCCACACCAGACCAGGGAGACTGTCCAGCGCTACAGCAACGCCAGACGGCGCCTGGAAGACACGGAACGGGATGCAGAGGAGCTGGAGCGCCGTGCCCAGGAGACGGCCACCCAGCTGGTCCAGGCCAGCCAGAAGCTCAGGTAGCCCAGCCGCCATGCGAGGACAGCGTATGTGTGGCGACTGCTTTGGTCAGCGCTCTTCCTGGGTCGCCGTTGAGTACACCCCGTTCGGCCTTTATGGTTCAACATATTTCCACACATTTATCTCTCACCTGGTCCTCACCGATTCATACTAGCAGATAAAACTAACCTTGTTTGACAAATGACAAAGCAGAATTTCCTTGTGTTACGAGTTATTTAAAAAATCCGCAAGCATTCAACGTCTTTGTAAGAAAAATGAAGTGCAGCTTGATTCAGTAACTTGTGCCACCCCCTTTAGCAGCGATAACTTGAAGTAAACAATTCCTGTAATTGTTGATCAGTCTCTCACATCGCCTGGCGCTTCTGATGTACGACGTTTGAGGGCTTTCTTGCATGTACAGCTGTCTTTAGGTCCCATGTACTTTCCAAGCACATTTGCTGGTCATCTAGTTTTGTGAAGCTCTACATGATTAAAAAGTATATTCTGCTTCTTTAGGGATTTACAAGATAATGTGAAAGAGCTTGAAGACCACAAGGCAGAGCAGGAGGCTGTCTTGAAGGAGATACAGCAGGTTGTGTCCTCCAGAGACTCCGAGTTCCAGGTTCTTAATCAGAAGATGGCAACCGTGGCAGAGAGGTGACACCTGAAACTTCACACCTGTATTATGAGTGAAAACGCGGTTTACATTTAGAAAAAAACATAAATATTAGTTTGATGTGCCTTTAATATGTTATTTATTGAAGCATAAAAGACAGCCTGCTTGGGATCCCAGAAAAAAGTAAGGATTCAAATACAGCAATACAATGAATAATTGAATTTAATAAAATGAATAATTGAGGACAAATGAATGGGTCATCATCCAGCACAGGATTATTGTTTTGTCCATTATCTAAAAAGAATGGATGCAAGTGATGTTAATTCCAGTGGCTGTCCTCTGTGAATAGCCTGGAGACCCTGCAGGCAGAATTGCAGCTGGCACAAAGCAAAGAGGCCCAACATCTGGAGACGATGAGGGAGGCCGAGGGCCTGCTGTCCCAGCGGAGGAGTGAGCTGGAGAGACTCAACAGCCAGGTAACCCACAACAGCTTCCCAGATAAACAAGCACAGATTGGACACTGCTTCCGCCAGTCACTGCTCTCCCACTGGTGTAATCACAGACCACCGTTTTCTCTGGGAGAAAAACTTACTGGAGCCAATGACAATCCAATGCTGATCCTCAACACTTGTGGCCCACAATTCACTTGCCTAGCTAAGCTAGATATGACGGTACCTGCAAAATATGATCCTGCTGACGGAAAATGACACAGGTCCTCACAGATACAGAGAAGGCTGGAGGGTTTTGATACCTTCCTGTCCCAGTCTGACATGTCAGAGCTGTCTGAAGGGTGTCGATGGCTTGTCACGCAGGTGGCTCTGCAGCAGGAGCAGCTGGCCGTGCTGGACAGGAAAGTGGGGCAGAGGAAAGAGGAGCAGCGCCTCCTGCAGGAGTGCGTGGAGCAGCGACAGCAGGGCCTGGCGGACGTGCTGCGCGGCGGCGAGGAGGACGTGCGGGACCTGCAGAGACAGCTCAAGGTTACCCCCCCCGCCTTGCGTGAGAGCTTCGCTGTAGCACGGGATTGTGGACTTGAGCTGCTTGCTGGGGCAGAGCCATGAGTGTGCAGCCCAGCTGGGTGTCAAACCTGTGCTTCTGACGTGGGTTTCATCTTACAGATACACCCCGTGCAGTGACAAACACTTTTTACCTGTTGCAGCAGTTTACCAGCATGTGTGTTTTTTCATGACTTGTCATGTATGGATGTGCAAAGATTGATGGTTTGGTGAGGTCAACGCCATCATTGAAGCGTTCGTTTGCATCCTAGATGTCTTTCTAGAGGGAGCTGGTGCTTGTGATTGATGTTTGTAGATGCCACTGAAAAGTCCTGGCTGGTCTGTCTCAGGAGCTCAGGGCTAATCTGGAGGACCTGAGTGCACAGAAGGAGGACCTGGGGTCCCAGCTGAGTGAGAGAAGGGCTCAGATCTCCCTCTTCAAACAGGAGGGCCAGAGAGAAGAGGAGACCCTACAGAACATCCTGTCCCAGATAAACAAGCACAAAGCAGGTGAGAAATCCGCTCAGGGCCTCATCCAGTTCGTTGCATTGTTGCCTAGATAAATCATAAATGTCTTCATAAATCATTACAGATAGCCTTTATAGTTTTCATAAGGACATAAAAGGTTGCAAATGAGAAGAGGATGTCTTGCTTATTTGGTTGGTTATAATTTAATGTTCAAAGAAATCCATCTCTTTCTTAAATGATTCCTTGTAGTCAGATTCACCTGTTCTGGAAATCGGTTCCAGATTGCTACACCCCTCTGTTTGAAGAAGTATCTCCTGTTCTGCTTTAAAGATCCCTTAACTAAAATTCTCCTCACCTTTTTTGGATTTTGCATACCTAAAACAAGTGACTAAGTAGTTGTCTCTCTTCCAGGTGACAGGTCCAGTTCCCTTAGATTGTCCATATATTCCATTCGCTTCAAGCCGGCAACAAGTCTGGTTGTTCTCCTTTGTACTTCCTCTAGAACAGCAACAGCAACCATGTTGTTGTACTGCAGTGACCAAAACAAGTTTCCAATTAATGAATTCATTGCAGGTTTTTTTTAAGCTCCCAATTACTTCTATACTAAAGGTAACAAGTTAATTTAAAGCTGAAAAGTAGAAAGATGTGAAAACAAAAATGTTTTGGCTGTGAAGGTTTGTCAGCCACAAGAAGGTTGTGGTCAATACATTATTCTTTTTAGCTACTTTTCAATGTGGAATTAATTCCAACCTATACAAAAAGGATGCTTTGTTTACAAGGGGGAAATGAGGAATAGAATCGGAGCCAGCAGGGGCTCAGTAGTGAAGGAAGGCCGTGATGTCATGTGTCCTGCTCTTCTCTTCCTCCACTCAGAGCTGAAGCACGTGCTGGAGATGATCCAGCTGGAGAGCAGCGAGCTGCAGGGCGTGAAGCTGCGGCACGACCACAAGCTGGACGAGCTGGAGAAGACGCAGAGGAGCCTGCTGCAGGTCGGAGCCGGGAGAGGAGGCGTTGCAGGGGCAACACGGGGCAACACGGGGCAACACGGGGCAACACGGGGCAACTAGACCCATGCCCGTTTCGCAGGCCTGAAATTGACCTGCTTGCTGTGAGAATCTGAGGCAACACTGGGCTATAAAAGTCAATTTTCTCTGTATACAGCATGATCAGCTAAAAATCACTCAATATTTGTGATTTTTAGTCCGTCGGTTGTGAAAGGGATCTCCCTTGGTTTTCTTTGCTTGATGTCATAGTTCCTCTTTGATCACTGTCCTACCGCCTCCAGTGTTTGTTTGTTTTTTCTTGCGTTAAAACGTGCACAAAACATACCTTCTGAAAGAAACAGCTGTCCTCAGACTGGAGGCTCAATGAGATTAAGCTGCCGAGAGGGTATTCATCCCGTGCCCTCCGAGCCCAGACAGGAGCTGTTGTGTCCCTGGCACTGTCCTCACAGGGCCGGTGGAGCTGACTGGATTGCTCCCTTTCCCTGTAGGTGAAGGTGGAGCTGGAAAGCGGGCTGCTGGACGCACAGCGCCAGGGGGCTGAGTGCGAGCGCAACCGGGAGCTGCTGGAGCAGGAGAGACAGGAGCTGGACGGCCTGCGGCAGGAAACCGAGTCTCTGCGGGCCACTGTGGACACCCTGGCCAAGGAGAGGGGCCTTTTGGAGGACCAGTGCCAGAACCTGGACGGAAAACTGACCCAGGCCGAACGGTATGGGGGCAACACAACAGAACCCTGAAAACTCTGGTTTTACCAAGCTGTGCCCACGGAACAAATAATGTTCCAGGAGCCAATTTCAAGGTTTACATCAGCTGAGTGAAGTGCACAGTGACTTCAGTAATAGAGGACTAATTTGGAAATATGACTTAGAATAGATTGGTATGAAAATACCCAGCAGTATGGTGCTGTGTGCAACCTGAAACTGTGCTAGGAATATATATATATAGATGCACAAAAGAAACACTCATGACGGATAAATGGAGTCACGTATTTTAAATGTTGACATGAAACAAAATCACAGAAAATATAAACCGAAAAAGCCCTAAGTTTTCAGTATGGAACACGGCACATTTCAAGGTGAAAACACGAACTTGGAAATGCTGGGTATGAGTTCCCTGAGCGTTAACCCAGTCCAGGCAGCACTGGCGCATGAAGCTGGACAGCCTCGGGACAGTTCTGCCATTCTCCCTGTGCTGTTGCAGCTGGCTAGCAAGGGTGGGCTGGTTGGCTGGCAGACAGGAGAAAAACTGGCCACTGCAAGATCTCAACAGGGTTTTCAAGAAGTCACGCCTTTGTCACCCCAACATTTTCCTCGCTGTGAATTCAGCATTGTTGAAAATGGCATTCATTAGTGAACAGAGCACTTCAGCTTAGATTTTCTCTGGACATCAGCAAATTAGTCTTTTTATGTGTCAGTGTTGCTCCTAAGTAGCCTCCAACCTTGGCTGTTTCTTCCTGGAATTTCTGTAAATGATTAGCAGGTGGGTCAGATGGTTGCAGCCACAGTGCTAGTTACCTGGTTTCTCTGGACTAATGACTCATCTTTTGAAGTAGAATAGTTTATTCTACAGGCTGCTCCCCTCTCAGACAGACCCTGTAATAATGCAGTATCAACCAAGTGATCTGAATTGCCCATTGAGGTTATATCCCCGAGGTTATATCCCGCTCAGTAGTGAAGGAAGGCCGTGATGTCATGTGTCAGTCGGGGTTATATCCCTGACTGTTCTTGCTTTAATTAGGGTCGGTGTTCTTCTAATGTCTTTTTATACAGATATGTTTAAAAACGGCTATACACTGACTATGTGCCTTTACTTTTTGTGAGGACTCAGGCTCAGTATTTTACTATCCCACAGGACAGTGCGATTCACACAATAAACAATTCTAAATGCTCACTATTTAAAATGTAAATACCATAATATACCCAATGCGTTTTTAATTGCGCATTTGTTGTATTTATGTTGGAAAAAATGCAGCACTCAATGTAATGGTAAATATAAACTTGACCCTAATCCTTAAGCATTTCCTAAACAGTGAAATGTGTGTACAGCCTTGTAGCTCCTGTTCAATTAACATACTCCTTTCAATCTTACACCCTGTGTCAGGTCCTTGAAAATCACAGAGGAGAGCGTCAGGGTGTCAGAGGCGGAGAGGTCGAGGCTGGATGCAGAGCTGGCTCAGATGAGGCAGGACCTCAGCCAGGCCAAGAGCCTCCGACAGGAGATGAGCCGCGATGTTACCGCCACCCAGCAACAGCTGGAAGGTTCTGAAACACATTTGACCTCTGGGAACTGGCTCTGTGCATGTTCTCCACTTTCTGGATCACATGACACAGCAAGATGACTTCCTCCTGCTTGTGTAGTGTAGTCAGTTAAAGGTCTAGATCTCTGCTGAGATGAAAAATGAACTGATAATAGAGCAGCCGTAGAATATAGGCTGCTGATACTGGGTTGAGCCACAAGAGGAATTCCTTTTGAAAGGACCGAGATAAGATTAATTGTGCTCGTTCACACAGGGCTGCAGGTAATCATTTGAATAAATCGCGGGTGCGTTAATTAAACGTTGCTTTCGATAGTCAAAGAACAGTCAGGACCACATCATTTTTAGAAGATGTCTTTTGTAGAACAGAGATGAAGGCCTGCTGGATCTTCCAAATGTTAAGGAGAGTCTTTTGACAGCAGATGAAAAGCTACAGTTGAAGTGAGGGTTTTAAACTCTGGTCATAATTCTAGCACAATCTTTAAAAAGAAAACCTAGTAATATTTATCTAATTCATATTCAAGGTTTTAAAATGGATGGAAAATTGTTTATTCTAGTACTGTACCTCAGGATTTGTGTTTTACACTATGGCTTGGAAGGTGGAGTGTTTGAAATTTTCCCTTCTTCTTTCAGAGAGCGCTGAAGAACTGAAGGTGGTGAAGGATGACCTCGGAGACGCTAGACAGCAGCTCCGAATAGTGGAGGAGGTAACAGGGCAGTGGGGAGGGCAGGCTGCACGAGCAAACCTCAACCTATTTCCACCAGCATACTGGTGTGAGCCGCCGAGAACCACAGTAACAACATGCCGAGGCAAAACAGCTGAATTACAATTGAATTTGTTCTCAGCATGTTGAAACATCTGGGAGAACTCCTTCCTCTGTGTAAGCAGCTCATCGGTACTATGTGTTGGATAAAGCTGGTGAACATTAGAGGAATACATTAATTAATTAGGGGCTGGATAATATTTTAATAGTATAGATAACTGCAAAAAATAAATCAAAGTGGTGATTAATAAATTATTTTAATTTTATTTAAGAATAGAATTTTAATGCTTTTCTTTATCAATTTGGCAACAGTGTTTGTTACATGTAGTTTCTAAGTTAATTTCTGTCCTGTCTGTGGTGGTTTTCTACATGGAATATTGTAGGAATATACAGTCTAGTGTATAGAATAATCACACAATTTGCATGCAGGGCTGCCACAATTTTAGAATGATAGAAATTGATAATGGAATTGATGATAGAAATGTTTCAGTTTCAGTAACAAAATACTTTTTTATATGAATGCACAGTATAATGCAATAGTCTGTTTTACATTAGTAGCTCATGCATTCTGCATCAAAAGAATCAATGCACAGCTATATAGTGAGGTGGACATTTTTACAATTATGATAGTTCCTATTGCTGTTATTTTTAGCACATTACACAGCTTTTGCAATTTCCAAGAGTAAGATTTGGAAACGCGGTGGGTGCTGTAGTGTTCCATCACTGTGTGTGCAGGACGTCCGCGCTGCCACCCAGAGGCGCGATGAGCTGCTGGCTGAGCAGTCCGCGCTGAAGGAGGCGCTGGACCGCGGTGCTCAGAGGGTCCAGGAGAACCAGCGCAGGGAGCAGAGGCTGGACCAGGAGCTGCGAGACCTGCAGGCTGAGATCGAGAAGCACCAGGCCCGTCTGGAACAGCAGGAGAGGGTGAGCACCTGCAGCACGGCGACGGCGAAGGTCCAGACACACGGAAATCCTCCACGTCAATAACTTGACTTCCACCTGCTGCTCTCTGGTCTTAGGTTTAGTCTTCAAAATGTACAACAAATGTTATGCACTCAATACATAATATTCACTGTTATGAAAATTTGCTGCCAGGGATCTTGCTGTACTGTCCCTGGATGGGATTTTTTGTGGGCAATATAGCTAAGACTTTTATTTAAGTGACTCGGGACACTGAATGAGCTTTGAATTTGAACATTCAATGTTTTTCCCCGCCCCAGTTTGAATATGCACAGTCATAACCAGGATCTCAGTTTCAGACAGCTACAGTAAATACACGAATAACAAGTCGCTGACATGCATCTCAGCTGGCAAATTTTATGGTCCTGCAATCGAAACGTATTCCATTTGAGATTTAGTATTTCACTTTGTGTACATTTTAAGTAACATAGAAGTAATTCATATTTACAGGTTGAACTTCTAATTGAGCTCAGAGGCTTCAGTAGTTTCGAGCACAATTCAGTTTGAAATCCCAAGCGGCTGTCTCCTCTTTTCTGTTCCAGTCTTTGGCTGTTTGAGTCTTCTTCTTCTTCTTTTTCACAGCCTCAGTCCCAGACTGTCCTGGGGTCAGCTGCTTTGGTTGCTCTTCTCCACTTGTCTCTGTCGAGCACATCTCCCTCACTCACTTCACACACCTCCATATCTTTTCTCACACAATCTCTCCATCTCTTTCTAGGCCTGCCTCTTCCTCCGTTACCTTCCACCTCAGATTCCATTACCCTCTTTGTTACTTCCTCAACGTCCCTCCTCATGATCTGTCCGTACCACCGTAACCTCGCCTCTCGCATCTTCTCAACCACATCTACCACCCTACATCGTCTACGGATTTCTTCATTTCATTGAAATCTGCAGAATCCATCTCAACATCCTCATTTCAGTTCTTCTCATCAAGTTCTCTTCGGCTGTTTGAGTGCAGAACTGCTCTGGCTGCCCTGAGCTTCTGCAGGATGCCTGCGGAGTGCCTGTCTGGTTTTGCAGGGTTTTCCCCTGAGCACCGCGCCCTGACTCTGTGGCCTCTCCCTGTGTGTGTCCAGTCCCTGCGGGGGCAGCAGGAGGAGGCGGTGGAGTCGGAGGAGGTGCGGAGGAGCAGGCTGGAGACGCTGCGGCGCCAGCTGCGAGCCGCAGAGGCCGCCCTGTCGGAGCGGCGCGGCCAGCTGGAGCAGGCGGCAGCCGGAGTGTCCCACATGGAGGAGCAGGGCCGGAGGCTGAGGAGAGATCAGGAGGAGTGCGCCGTCCTGCAGGACAGGCTGTCCCGCCTCAGTAAGCAGCTGGGCGCATGTTGCTTTATTCCACACGCTCCGGCTGTACGAACAGGAATGGGTTTTCTTTAGATCGAGCCGCTTGAGGTCTTCCCGTTTTAAAGGCTACCCCTGATCTACCACTATTAGAAAGTGGTTCATCTAGTTTAGTTCATGAGGATGGGAGGAGGAGGGTCTGGTCTGTCTACAGTAATACAGTAGGAGTAAAGGGGTATATAACAGAACCTGTTAAGTAAAGGCCCTTCTAAAGATGAAGGCTTTGAGTCTAGATTTGAAGGAGCTCAGGGAGGGTGGCTCGTTATCCTTAGGGATAGAGTTCCAGAGCTTTGGGGCGCAGCAGGAGAAGAACCTGTCACCCACAGAGTGTAGATGGGCTTGGGGGACAGATAGGAGACCAGAATTAGAAGGGCGAAGGTTGCGAGGTGGGGAGTACATGTCTTTGATGTGTGTTTTTCCTTCAGGTTATTGTGATCGTGTTGTAAAAGCCGAGCACTCTTCCGTGTTTGTGTTTCCAGGACAGGAGCTGGCGGAGAGAGAAAAGGAGCTGCAGGGCAGGGCAGAGGAGTGTGCTGGACTGCAGAGGAAGCTGGACGAGTGTCGCAGGGAGGTGGAGCACCTGCAGGAGACTCTGCGCTCAGAGAGGTTGAGGACGGACAGGAAGCTGGCGGCCCTGAGAGCTCAGAGCGAAGCTGACAGGCAGCAGACACAAGAGGCCTTGCAAGTGAGTGAGGTCAAGGCTGATCTTCTCTTACTAGAGGATGACGGGAAGATTGTTTAGTTCAGTACCTTGTTCGTCTGAGGATTTCGTCTTCTTATCGCAGTGGGGTTAGATCGTAAGTGGCAGATCACTCTCTCCCTCCTCGTCGCAAACGCACCAGGTTGCCCGAGTGGCTGTTGCTAACTTGCGCCCGGTGTTCTGTGCCAGGAGAAGGCTCGGCTGGAGAGGGAGCTGGTCACCGCTGAGCAGGCTGCGGGGGAGAATCACCAGCGCGCCCGCAGCCTGCAGAAAGAGCTCAACACCGTGTCGAGGGAGCTGCTGCAAATCAAAGACAAGGTATCGCAGGCCACACTCTTGCAGCTCGGAGCAAAGCAAGCCCTGAGCCTGGGTTCCAGCCAGTGGGATTCCTTCCATCGTTACAACACAACGCTTACTATGATCTAGACTGACTGTGTGTTTTTGTCCTGAACTGTTAAAGCTTTCATTCATGCTACACACTCTCCCAGCTAATCTGATTGCTGAACTGAAGTTCATTTTAGATCTGCTGCAGTTCATTTTTTATTTTGCTGTGGGATAGATGTGGTACTTCACTGTTAATGTCAACACCTGTTCTGAAGCAGTGGTACTCTTGTAAAAGCCTACTGTAAAGCAAACTTGTGTGTAGTTGTATTAGGACTGCCGTTTTGTAGGGGTTTCATTTTTTAAATGTTTTTAAATGATACATGGGAGTTAATTTTCAGCAGAGGTTGCCTTTTGATTGTATTTACTAACCGTTTCTGACATAAATTAATAGCTCCTTGTAGTACGCAACATCCAGATGTAGAATGATGAACGGTGGAACATTTGTATCTGTTCTTGCGTTGGGAGCCTCGGATCCTGTTTGTGTGGGGGAATCCCTGTACCGAGGAGCTTGTGCCCGCAGGCCTGGCACTGTCTGCCCTCTCCTGTAACTCCCTCCTCTGCCCAGCTGCGGACGAAGGAGGACATGGAGGCCCGCCAGCAGGAGATAAAGGGGGCCATGCGCTCCCTGAGGTCGGAGGTGAGGGCCGAGATGACCAGCGGGATCGGGGAACGGGACCCCAGCCCCCGGCGCCGGGCGGACACGGAGCACCTCAAGGAGAACGACCCCCACTACCCCAGCACCCCAGGCCGGCCAGCCTGCAGCTCCAAGGTCTGTACTTCTGCAGGACTGAAAACCCTTTCGGGCTGTGCTGGGTGTCGAGGAGACTCCGGCGTGCAACACAGGCGAGGGCCCGCGTGGGGACAGGAGCATAACCAGCCTGTGCTTCAAGCGTTTCTTCACACTTGCTCCCTGAAGCTGACAGGATGAAACAAGCCTCGTGTGAATTCTGAGAAATGAACTGTGAGCTGTGCCGCCCTCTCTCTCTCTCTCTCTCTCTGCCCAGGATGAGCAGTGGCGTGGAGAGGCTCTTCGGGAGAAACTGAGGCAGCGGGAGGACCTTCTCAAGGTGTGTGTGTGTAACAGCAGCCACAGGGGCTTCCCAGAGCTCCCAGCTTCAGGGCCACCTTCACTGACGTATCTACTCTTCATGCTGCCAGATCAAACATTTCAAAACACTGCTTTTCAGCACCTCGAAAAGTTGGACATTGTACCATTTCAGCAGTTATCTTCCTTTTTTAGGATCTCTTCATAGAGCTCATTTGAGGAAAAACATGTTTGTCACTCTTTATACATGGTTCTTATAAAGTTAAATTGCCTGCTCAGATGTGTGTCATGAAAACTGTTGTCGAGCAGAGACGCGGTGCGTATACAAAAGTATACAACACTTGTCTATGGACACCAGCATCGCAGAGCACTGCTTGGCTCAATGCTATCACCTTTTCTGTACATGATGGCCCAGCGAATACTGCAGTTGTCAACAGCAACATGTTCTCCAGGCTCTTTTTTGATTGGGAAACAATTATACACAGTGGGCACGCTTTCTTCTGTAAGGTAATTCCTTTTTCGTCCTTCCTCGTGGGGGGTCGTGCTCCTGTGTTCCTAGGCTCAGCTGCGCAGACGCATGTGGACGCAGGCAGAGGTTCTGAGCCTGCGCAGGCAGCAGACGGAGGGCAGCCTGCAGGGGCTGCGCAGGCGGGTGGACGCCCTGGACGAGCTCCTGGGGAACAGCTCCTCCGACTCCCTGTCCCCGATCAACAGCGAGCCGCCACTCAAACACGGCAGGGTGAGTGGGCTGGGACCCAGGCTGCAGAAGAGGAGGCAGATGTACCACCACCCTTCTACGCCTCATGTTGTAAAACCTCTCCCGGAAACTCTGAGACTGTTTATCCGATCGCAATCTGGCCATTAAATACAAGATGAGGATTTTCTCATGACGTTTTTTTTGCCTTCAGTTTTCTTTTTTTTTTAAATCACTCCATTGATCATCAAGATTTTGAGATTTTATTTATCCCAAAGGGATTGCATGATCTGGTATTTCATTTCAAAACATTAGATTGAATACACCATTGATTGCACAGGCACAAACACTCTTTTGTAGCCAGATGCTGAAAGAGAAAATGAGAAGGCAGAGCTCTACTGCAGCTGGGTTGAGGGGGCGAGGTAACTTTCTTCCCCCGTTTTTTCAGACTGACCTGTCAAGGAGTATTGGCTCCCCCTGTGGGAGACAGCCTGGCACTGCAGCACGGTCAAACAGCCCTGTGCGACTGGATCCTACAGTACCAGAGAGAGACCCAGGTAAGGAGCTGAATGCACACCAACGAACACCCTTTCCCGTACACCTGTACACAAGGAATGAATGCTTTGGCTTTTCCATAATACCCTTTTATTCTAATTTCCTACTCAGGAGGCAGCTGGTAACTACGTACCTACGCCTGCGATGTCCCTACTGGCACCACATTGAACCCAGCTTGTAAAAGCCAAATGAGCAGGGCCAAATCACAGCACGTTCTCTCCCACTACCTCAGAATAACATCTATCCAAACACACCCACTCAGCCATTTCACTCTGTCATGTGCTCAGCCATTAGACCAGCATTTTTCAAAGATTATGTTTTTATTGAGCATTTATTTGTGAGTAAAACAGTAAAGACTATTATACTGTAAGTACTTAATATAAATATATGAAAAAAAGCAGAATAGGCCAGAGCATGTCTTTGGATGAGAAACAGATGACATTTACCTCAAAATGTTAATTATTGTATAAGTACATGAGACTAAGTATACTGTGCTGTACACTGTACCTCACTAGAACTAGGGGCAAAGGCACCCCCTAGAGTGTAATTTAGAAATTTATTTTACATTCGATTTAAAAAACCATCCAGCTTGTGCTGCAGTCAGATGGATGTTGGAACATCATTGAACTACTGACATTGGAACTTGTGTGTGTTTCCACTTTCATTTATATATTTTTATCGACTAACATTTTATGGTACTGAGTTAAAGTGAGTTAACTGCATTTACAATTTGAAAGAGCGATTGAATCCCAAGCTGTCTGACCAGGTTTCTCTCCATGTAACTGTGTAGCACAGCGCAACACACATAAGGCATTCTTTACTTTAAAAGCAATATAGTGAAGAGCAATTCTCACTTAGACGTAGATGTAGCAGTTATTTGACACAGTTATACTATGAAAAGTGCATTTTCTTACAGTATGTGTAATTATTGCTTACTTCTCTTCTGATCATTCTGGAGAAACTATATGCCCATAGTGTGAATGCATGAGTGTCAATACTCTCAAGGTTAATATTACTGTTTATTATATCTGTGGAGGTGCCCTTATCTTAAACTAAACATTTATATACAATTTAAAACCTGGATTAAAATGCGTTTGGAAAGAACACATAACTGCACAATTAAGTCTTTCCATGTAAAGTTTTTAAAATTTGAAAAAAATGCAATATCATTGGCCATCCTATGCAACTTTCTATTGCAAATCTTTATGTTAATGCCAATTTGTATTGTTTGCTTGAATTTTGAAGCATTTTTCACTTTCAGAATCATTTAATAACGCAGAGCTATGTAAAATGCAATAAATATTTATTTTTGTACGCTGTTATGTACTTGATGAATGTCTTTGTTCCAAGTAAATTTTTCCTTTAATTTTTTCCTAGTTGTTTAGTCACTGGACTAAAGCTGTCTGCATCTGTTATGTCCAAATGTTTCATTTCAGATTCACCTGCATCACAACCCACAATCCACCCCCTCCGATTCTGATTTCACAATGGGCACGTTTAAAGGGGAACTGTGCCGCTATTTTCAGATTTCGGGGTTAGAAAGAATCAGCACTGATGAGTGCATTTCAAACCAGAATCAAATTAAAATGGTAAAACCTACAATTTACAAGACATTTCCAGGTATGTGAAGAGCCATGTTCTGCGATTCAGAACGAGGCAACAAAACGTTTGCCTAAAAATTAAAACCAAAACATGGTTTTAATTTTGGCCTAAGACATAAAAAGGCTTAAGTGAGGACCCATTCATAAATATCTTTGGAAAGCTTATGTTTTACCTCATGAGGAAAAATACAAAATCACTGTGGTGAACATCAGATAAACTTCTGGCTGCTACAATGTGAAATCATTTGCTAGGAAACTTAACTTTCAATTTTAATAGTACAAAACATTTTAAACACCTTTGAAGTACTGAGTAGTAATTGCTCAGAGGAATTTACTTTGTTGCTACAGGTGGGAAATGTCTAAACTAACCCTTTTTGGCAATTATCTCTATCCAAGAAGTTGTTGTTTTTTTCTGATTAGCCTCAGGAGGTTGCAATACATGAAAGCACTAATCTATGAATCCAGATGTTTGTGCACTTAGCTTTTTCTATCTAAAAACTGATTTTAATGGCTTGAAATAAACATGCATTATAATTGACTACTGTGGAAACAAGAACATTGTATCTACAGCAGTACACAATGATGTACTTAGATACATGTCTTTACAAAACGTCTCTCTGGAAAACACAGACCCACAAGTTTCTCTAGATACAGGAACTTTATTTACAAATATTTAGATTAATAGCAGTTTGTTCCATCAAATGAAAAGTACAGCAGTCCAAAGAAAGTTTGTCACATATAAATAACAAGACCTATTTGTAAGCAGTTGAAGGGGTTAAAATTTCTCACACCAGAAAAGAAACAGAAAATCAAAAGGAAAAATAAAAGAAACTAAGCAAACATTCAAGCCAATTTAATTGGAGTTTGACTTGGCCCAGATTCAGTTGGTTTAATATACATGTTATAAACTTGTTAGTGCACAGTGGTCCCTAGGTAGACACCTGTCTACTTCTTGCAAATGTGGTGCAAATCTATTGTTAATCAAAAAGGGAAGAAGTGAATTTAAATATGATCCTAGAGCAACAGCAATAATTTCAGTTTGTTTCAACAGTACTTAAATCTATATTTCCAAAAGGTAACATTCTTTTACTAGGACAGTACTAAAAACGAAAGACACAAAGGTACAAATAAACTAATTTTCTACTGAATGACTTCCAGTTTTGGCCATTACATAACATTCAGTGTCCTGGTGTATTCTTATTAAAGTTTTATGTCAAAGCAAAAAGAAAATGGTCATATTTAGTGTCAAGACAGAAGGGAATAAACCTAATCACAAGATCTTTGGAATCTACTGGAGCAGTGTATCTCCAGTTTACCAGGATAAATATCCCCCCCGAAAGTTGTCTTTTCTCCTGAAATCATGGTAAAAAAAAAGTAGCTCTTTATTTTAAATTCATTTCCAGAAAGTAATTTAAATAAAAGTAGTACCCAAGACTGATTAAATGCAAACCTTTAATGCTTTCTTTTTCCAGCAGTTCCACTCAAGTAAGACATTTTTAAGATCTCACAATATACACACTCTCTCAAAAACGACCCCCTTAAACTCTTGCATTTCCCCCAAAAAACATCAACCCCAGCTTGACAGATATTGCTCTGACAACACGCAAAGACAACTCGCAGTTCCACTGCTACATACTGTACTTCAGTGCAAGAAACTGGTGTCTCAGTCAGCCTGAAGTAAACCAACGCAAACGCCTGTCCTGCCCGATTTGTCCACTGATAGGACCCACAATAGGACGTCTGAAAAGAGAAACCATTGCTAACGTTAAACATGAACATTACATCCACCGGTACCTAGCAGTCTTCCTTGTTCAGTTGGACTATAAACCCTCTGGAAGCTCTGCAGCGTGTAAATACAGTGGGCACTTCAGAAACTCTCGAAGATACGAGGAAGGGCACATATGGGACCACAGGGCAGGGCCTTCGAAGATCAGCATGTGGCCGGAGGACTGCTGGGTGAAGGAGAGAATGAAAAGCCGTGTTTTTAAATATGGGAATCATCTCAAAATATACGGACAGCTGGACTAGCCACCACGCTCCAGAACAGAACACAAAAAAAAAAATCTATATAAAAAGCCAACATGCAGCAGTACTTAACACAGAAAGCTGCCGTTGACCAAGCATGAAAATATTAACATTCACGTATCAGACTGTGCAAGTCGTTGTATTTTTAAAATACTGTATATTTTTCTAAAGTGTTACATGCCATCAAATTACTATAACCCTATTTTATTTGCACCACCTTCCTAGAGCATGAAAAGCAAATAAGCAAATGTATATAAACAGGTGGCAAATGCACCATTTACAGAATGCGGATTGAGACAGCGCAGTTGTCACTTTCAGCCATGTGCTGTACAGAATTTTATCAGAAATGTTACATACATACAATTTCTTTCAGATTGCCTATGTACACAGAAGACAACCCCAATGTTACCCTAGTTAAAAGAGAATTAACACATGTAACCATGTCGAAATGCCTCTGGTCCTATACCTTGGAGTGTTTTTCAGATTCCAAGCAGGGGCTTTTTGCAGTTTAGTGATGGAGATCCTTATTCTCTTACTCTGCTCTTGGAGAACTGGCACACTCTTGTGTTAAAGAGGTGGAAACACCACACGACATCTGTGCAATCTTGCTTCATGTACAACACTTAATCACCTTCAGGCCTCATGACTGTTGCTCAATGCAATGGAACTGAAACAGGGAGCATCACTGGAAACAGCCTAGAGGTTCAAGTTCCTTCACCTTGCAGAAGGTGTTGAAAAAAATACATCGCCCAAGTACCAAGCCTGAATTTGTCTAAATGTAGTGGTCCAAGTTTAATGGCCATTTTCTTGACAACACAAAATGAGTTCTGCAAAGTGTTTCGAAAAGCCCCTGCTAAGACTGAAACCCAGCCCTTTAAAACGTCCTGTTACAGTCTGATACACACTGCTAAAAAAAATGAAATCTCAGTCCCACCCAGCCCTTCCACACCGAACAATTCTGAAGCAGTTCAACAGAAATCATCCTGTTGCCTGGGTGCTGTGTTTTAGGTCTCCGCTTAATGAAATACACTGAAGAGACGTACATTGCTTACGCAGGCTGGATTACTGTACAGTAACCAGTCCTTTTCTTCAGGGGGACTACAGTCAGATCTCGAGTGATACAAGACCCCTCAGAGAGAACTGACCGATTGCACAAGAGCAAAGACGAGTTTACCCAGATTGATGATGGAACAAAAAAAAAATACAAATTACACAAGAAAAACAAAATAAAACTAGTGTTAAAAGGTGAATCTCCATTAGCGGTTAAATGTATTTTTCCTGGTTTTTAATTGCAAGTACAGCTATACCTGTGCTTTTGAGGGCAACGTAAGAGACAGAGGCCACACTTTACAGAATGGTACTTAAATGTATTTTTTCCTAGAGCACTTTTAATATTAAAAATCAAAATGTTATCATTAAAATCATATACACACAATATGCATTTTAAAGGTTAGCACAGTTTCTTCAAATGTATACATATTTATTTTTTTAAACGGTCATCTTAAATGGAGGAGGGTGACGTCTCTAAGAGCTGGGCTACAGCCGAGACCTCGGAGGAACGCCACAGCCCAGTCCTGGCGGCCCTGCTTGTCAAGGTTAAGACGGGATGTGAAATCAAGTGCCCTTGGAGGGCTCTGGGCAGTTTTGTTTTGTTAAAAATAGACAAGTGACAAAAAAAAAAACAATCTACCTATTCATCCTCCGTTTTGCACAAAAGGATAACTGTTAAAAGTCAGCAAGGTTTTACAAACCAGATACTATTTCCTGTGGATGGGAGGAAGGGGGGGAGGTCTATCCCAGCCTGTTGCCCTCTCCGCAGGCTTTCCATGTGCCCTTTGGATGCCAGACGACTCCCGAGCACTTTCAAAAGGGATTGCAATTCTCACACCAGCCACCAGAGGGTGCTGCTTGCTGAACATCCACCAGATGGGGTGGGGGAGGCCCTCTACACAAGATTTCCCCAAATACGTCAGCACTGGAACCCACATATTTCTATAAACTATAATAAAGGTTTTCAAGCATCCCATAAACATCACCTGTACAAGTCACCAGGGATTCTCCCGTCTACAATCCTGTTTTTGTCTCTACTGATCAGATGGCGAACGACATATATACATAACTGCAGATTTTTAGAAACCGTATCGATTTAATTTATACCATATCAAAACCCTTTGCCAACGCTCGTCTTCGAAGACGGAAAACCAAAAGCATTAAGAACCTGCAGCTTTCCAGATCACAGCCCAGGGACTGACAGATCGCCCGAGAAGGCTCAGCTTTTAAGACAGCATCTCCTGACACGCTCCCTGATCGGCAAGGCATGGATTCCATATACCAGAGCCAGATAAGAAATTAATGTAATTATTGGTAAAATTAATGTTTTATTGAAGAGAAATGTATAAACATCTTCACGTAGAGCAAGCAGCAAGGGAAGATAAAACAATAATAGTAATAAGGCAACATACAAAAAAAAAAAAAAAAAAACAGATCATTCCTGGAAAGTGTTTTAAAAAAATCATTTGATATGACAGGGATTTCAGGGGATTATTAATGATGTTGGAGGCTAAGTGTGGTCACATTACGGGTCCACATGGATCTTAACAGGTGACGGAGGGGGACATTTTGTACCTAATTCCTGAATGTACTCACGGTGTGCTGACTCTCCTAATCTTCCATGTTATTGTGAAAACTTTTGCTCA